TCCCCACCGGCCTGGTTACCCCCAACTGCCCCCCGCCGCCAGCCTGGTCACCCCTAACTACCTCCCCAGCAACGGCCTGGTTGCCCCTAACTGCCCCCCACTGCCAGCCTGGTCACCCCTAACTGCCTCCCCCCACCAGCCTGGTTACCCCCAACTGCCCACACTGCCAGCCTGGTTGCCCCACACAGCCTGCTGTTCAGTCGTTTGGTCGTCCCTCACTAACCCCCCTGCCGGCCTGGTCACCCCACACAGCCTGCTGTTCATTTGTTACTGTGACGGTGTCCCGGACAATTTGCATATTCCTCTATTAGCATAGATTATATTTTTCTTAAATAAAAACAGCTCTATTTCAAAGTTTTGAAAACAGGTGTAGTTCAAGCTATTCCAATTTAAAATATTAATATGAAATGATCAGAGAAAAAACCAAACTGTTTTTTTTACAATACATGGAATTTAGGCTCATCTGACACTAGATAATTTGCATATATAACTAGTACTTAGTTCATTAAAGTAGTTAAAATCACACACAACAGCCTATGGTTAGCAAACAAAAACCACTACAAACTGTACTACAAATACACAATGAGCAAGTTAGGAAGCATGGTAATTCTACATCATCCAATCCAAGTAAGATAAACCTTTCGTAAGTCACAAAGGATATAGAGTGTACTGCACGGGATATGTTAACTCCTCCTGGCACTATCCTTTGTCACTATACTGGCCCTAACATGCCCATGCCTATGCATACACTTTGTATAACAATCTCAAGTGTGCCAAGTAAACACAGCACCTCCTGTAATTACTTCAGAAGGAGTAAGAGGAGATTACTGAGAAAAATCGCAGCACAGAGCCGAACTTATCAGCAGAGAACCAGTATCTATTACTTCAAGGCCTGATACCAAAACCTTGGCTGAGAAAACAGATGCATATTTAAACATTCTGTGTAAGCCTAAGCAAAGCACACTCTACAATGCTTAAAATCCGTTTATCTTGGTGTTAGTAAATAGAAACAAGACACAAATTCAAAGAATAGCTTGTATAATTTGTCCTTCTCAAAAACAGCTCAAGTCTATATTCTGATTACCTGTTTCTGTCAGGCAGAGTACTGCATATTCTTCGTACCAACTTCCACCATTCCCTGGGCTTAATACTCCATTGACTAAATACCGTTTATCCTATTAATGGAAAACCACCCAGTATTATCTAACTTAGTGCTCTCCAACTACTTGGCCAGCCCCCTGGTTAAATGACTGAGTCTGCTTTCAGCCTGAGTTGACCTGCAGGGACCTCCAACCACAACAGAACAACTTTGAGGGCTGAGAAGGAATCATCTTGGCACACCTATAACCCATTGTGGCACCACTGGTACGGCCACTGAACATCAGTAGGGAGATCTTGGCTAAACTCTTCTGATACTCAGAGATAAGACTAGACACCTCCTTACAAACATTTGTTGTACTTTTGATAGAAAACCCAACCAAACTTATACATAAAACTTTTTAATTACACACACACACACACACACAAACACACACACACTTGAATCAGCACCAAAATCTCCTCCAATGAAACAAGTATTTATATATAGGTTAGAAACATAAATTCTCTATACACTTTCAATTCCCAGTATTTTCATGCATATTATAAGTACCTACAGCCATTATTATATGTCACTAAAATACAAAACCTTGAATATCATATTTTAACTGTAAACATCACAGAAAATCAAGTATATTACAAATATAATTTACATAACGTTTGTGCATTCTGAAATCTGCAGTATTTGTGTTTTCCTGAGGAAAGGATCTATATAAATTTCACTAGATCCTCAAAGAAATATGCAATCCAAAAAGGTTATTTTTACTACTCTTACTGGAATATGCAACAAAAAAGAACGTTTTCCAAATTCTAGTCCTCTGTGCCCCCTTCCTAAAATTTTCTATTTAACTGGCTTTTAAGGGTACATGACCTTTCTTGACCTCAGATTCCTTCTCTGTAAAAATGGAAATGGTGCTGTTGCCTGTCTACTTAAGAACTGTTGAACACATTAAATTGGCAATGCAGGAGGAAGTTCTCTTAGATGTCTCTAACAATTAGATGTCTCTATCAAAATATGTCAGTGCAAAATAATTTAGTTATGTTTATCATTGATATTTTGTCTGCTAAAACAGTATACAAAGACATTTAAAATTTCAGAGAGAACAAGTACTGTATTTTATATTAAAAAATAAAATAAATAAAAAACCCAACCTCTGTCTTAAAATCATTGATATGCCCAGCCTTTGGTTCTTTCATTCAGTTTGTGGATCTTTAAGACATGTAGGTTTAGGATCCAAGATGGCAGCTGACAGGACGACAGTGAGGAAGAGAGTGTGAGTGAGAGAGTGAAAGGGAAGTGCGTGGACGTGTGGGGCATGTGTGTGGGGGGTGAGGGGCAGTTATATTCTGCAGGACTGTTGGGGATTGGCAGACAGGCTCCCCTGGCCAGGAAGCCTCTGCTACCGCTGCCATCACTCCCGGGCCGGCGGGCTCTGCCGCAGAGACCGCCATCTTGAAGGGGAGAGCAGCTGTGACTAGGGGCCCACCCTTAGCTCCACCCGGGGACCCTACAGCCACACTAGCCAGGGACCAGGTGCCTCGGCTGCAAACCCACAAACACCATGACTCCAGCCTCCCCGGCCATGGGCACCTAAAAAGTTTGTCCAGGGGGAGACAAGGTGGCAGCTGAATAGAGAGGCGGGTACTGTGCCTTCTCACGGAGCAGATAGAAGACAGAGTGAAAGCAGTCCTGAGAGGGAAGTTCATAGCCCTACAGGCCTACCTAGAAA